TGTTATTGCTTGGTTCATAAAATAAATATATATTAAACTATGTTTTGAAAATTAGCAGATTTCTTTCTGACTATAAAACTTTTTTGATTAGAAATAAGATGCCGTCTTTGTAAAAAATTGCTACGTAAAAGTTATATTTTAAAATACTCTTCTTTCTATTTTTCTACAGTTATTATTTTCATAATTTTGATTAAAGGACTAAAACCCCTTGGTCATGTGGTTGACCTGGAGAATAATCTATGAAGTTAATTTCTCCAGTTTATCCAAATATTCTGAAAATAATTTGACGATGGACATTTTATCACATAATGAGTGTGTTTTGCAGATTGGACAATAGATGGAGCTGTTACAACTGTACATAGTTATGAAATGTTGTACAGGGTGTTCTTGTTTCTGCATGTCTTTGACTTTCATTAACTGACTCCATAGATGTCATTCACATTTTTTTCTATCCATGATCTAATCCTTGCTTCCTTGCTTTACCAGTAAAGTTCAATGGTCTTCCTTCTTATAAATTATTCCCAAGTTCTTTTAGCAAATGTTATTAACACATGTTCAGGGGAAGGACTTATTAATGAAAGCAAAGTTTATAGGGGACCATTTTTTGGGGGTTGTGTTGCATAGTGTAGTCAAATAAGCAAAAGTATAATATTATATAAAACAAAAATATTCATTGATTCACATATTAGGATCATATTTCAACTCATAAAAGAGTTAAACTGTTGCATATGTAGAGAATGCCTTGTTCATACCAATCGTAACACACATGGCATATGACCTACAAGAACCAAACACATGTTTTGTTTCCACAAGTGGTTCATTAGGAAGTCCGGATAAACTCAGACAGGCTTTATGTTCTGTGAATAAACTGTAGAGGAAACAGATTGAGGAAAACCTTGAGAACATGTTTTATTCTGTCATATTTATATCTCCGTATCACGAAAATAAGTCAGTTATCGTGAGAAGATGAAAATGCAGCTGTAAGGAAGGAAAATATCACCGTAATATAATTCTGTTGTCTGGCATACTGGGATTTTAGTTATTTTAGCCCATCTATTGACAGACTATATCTCTAATTATTAATACATATTATTCGTTAAAAAAACACCCACAGAATTCTACATAATTGCAAAGCACCATTATCAACAGCTACCTGTCCCTAATACACGAAAGCTCCACTTCTAATACAAAACTAAGATATGGCCAATCCTGATATGTAAGTGTACATATCACCCACCTACTAGACCAGTGTTCTCCAACCCAGTCCTCATGGACCACCAACAGTCCAGGATTTATGTATTTCCCTGTTTTATTCCAATGAAGACACTGACAAAACCTGGACTGTTGGTGGTCCATGAGGACTGGGTTGGAGAATACTGTACTAAACCTATATGGAAAGGGGGCCCTTGCAACATAGTCCCGAATAATAACCCTCACCCACATCGTGTGGTGCTGTACAGAGAGTTGTAGGGCAGTTATGGTGTAAGTTTTCATTGATTTTGTGATAGTAATTAATTACCAAAGAAACATTTGAAAATAGGAACCACACAAAGTACATGTTTCCTTTGTTGTTTTGTTTTATTAAATTTAATTTACATGGTTTTCATTTGGTTCATAAGATATTGCATTAATGGTCCAATCCAAGCCCATAAACAGTTCTGGCAATTAAAGTTGTGGAGTGCGGGAGTTTGGTTTGTTCAGATAATTTCTCCTTCCTGAAATATATACAATAATCTGTGTGATAGAGGCGCTTCAAATATTTGTGATTATCAATTGAAATCCGCTACAACACTCTGGTGGGAATCCCACTTACCAACCAATAACATGCACACAAAAAAGTGGAAAAAAGCCCAAAAGCTATTAACCTCAAGAGTGAAGCGTTAAGTGGTTAAAATTAACCACCTACCCTAAATAGGAATATATCAGTCTTTGGCAGAACTTGGATGATAGTGCAATCCAGTCGATATCAAGGCGTATATAAAAAAGAAAGAAACGGGGGAGATTACATAAATCTGCGATGTTGGAATGAATCTGCAATGTTGCGAATGAATCTGCGATGTTGCGAATGAAGCGTATAGAAATGAGGTGTCAACTCACATGTAAAAGAGCCTCATAGAGGATAGGCTCAAATCTCATCAGCAGGAGTCCAGTCTGGTGGCACTATAACCTTTAAGCTACATTGGTGTTCCTCAGAGAGTGAGACAAAAATGGCACAACAGGAAACACCTTCTGGTGTAGTAGGAAGGTAAACAGAGTACTATAATATGAAGTGCAAATGCTTGCTTACCTTTTCCAGAGTCTATGGACCTGGCTCTGGGTAAAATTGCTTAGGTGTCTATATAGAGGACACCACCCTTCTTTGATGCAGCTTTAGGAGGACCCAAATCGGACTTGAAGTTGAATCAATTTATTGAAGTAAAATCAAACACTTTAAAACAAGCTAAAACTAAAAAATATTCAAATACAATAATAATAACAATAGTGTCCAGCATGGATTCCTTGTTCTGAGATGCGTTTCACCCTTTTCAAAGGGTTTTATCAATCATATTTCTCCTTCCTGTCAGCTTTAACCAGTCTAACCATTTTCCGCCTTCCATCCACTTATTTACAAATAATTTTTGGATTGTTTTTGCATGGAAATCTCAGCAAATCCTCATTTTTAGAGATACTCAAACCATCACATCATGCACCAACAATCATTCTACCATCAAACTCACTTAGACTACATATTTTACATACTGATGCTTGTTTTATACAACTGAACATCTTGACCATGTCTCTGAGCTTTTGAGCTTCAATTTGCTGCCGAAAGGATCACTATAGTTCTAACTATGTTAGGAATACAAAACTGTATTGTTCCCCTCCAGTTATGAAAGTGTTAAAAATGCTTTCCTTTCACTTACCTGACTCCACTTCCTCCTCCGGCAACGTTACAGCAATCCGGGAACCTAATGCACATGCACAACAATTCTTTCCAAAGGGGACTTTTTATGATGCTGGACCTCCTCATGCAAAACGTGAGGACTTCTAGCATTGTTTAATGGCGTCAAACTTTGTGTGAATCGAGGAAGCACCTCTTTTGGCTGTCTGGTAGACAACCACTAGAGGCAGTCTTAACACTGCAAGGTAAAGATTGCAGTTTCTCTAATACTGTAATGTTTCACAAGGGACAGGGACACTGCACCCAGACAACTTCAATGAGATGAAATGGTCTGGGTGCCTATAGTGTCCCTGTAATAAAGAAGCTGTTAGTGTACAGACATCATTGCAATTCCATTACTTAGTCATATTTGGCAATTAACAGTCGTGTGTTTCCTTTGTTCTTTCACACTTCAACATTAACAATGCATTACCATTAACGTGCATAAGTATACTTTGTACATATCTGTTACGTCTTTGTAAGCTGGGCATTTCAATTCTCTGAAATATTTTATTAATCAATACTTAGCATGTTATTGTTTGAATACTAGACTTTGTGTGTAACAATTGAAAAAATAAAATCATCTATGACTATGTAAACCAACCCACTGAATGTTAATATTAACAATATTTAATGAATATTAACCAATGCATAGTGGGGTTGAGTCAAATTGAAATCAATTGAATAAATTCTCTTCTTTAGATATTTTGCTGATTGGTACTGACTTGGATATTTGATGGAATTTTCAAGGAAAACTTAAACATGGTAACAACATGAAACATTCTAATGAGCCTTCGTAGCACACCCTCGGGAATTGTAATTCAGTATATAGACATTACAGTTCCAGATGAATGTAGGCCAGATGTCTGCTAAGAATTACTGTTAACCGACTGTAAAGTAAATGTGATAGACTTTAGTTTCATTTAAAATAGAAATACAAAAAATTTCCAATTTCCAACTTTATAATTCCTTGCTTAGATGTTTTGGCAATTATTAAGTGAAACCATCTGGCACAGTTTTATATTGGATGTTGCATAAAAGGATATACATTTTGCCTCTTTTATATAAAAGGCCAGCTAGGCCTAAAACTTGGATACTGAATAATAACAAAGTATCTGTAATTTTAAGGGCTTATCATATATTTTTTAATTTTTTTAAAAATTCTTTATTTTTCTTGTGCATATGAAAAACAAACAATTGGTCTTGCAGCGCCACAACAGCAACTGCAGGCTTATCTTGAACAGTAGATTGGTATGGCATGCGATTGTATAGCACAATTTTGTGGTATATTGACATGAGAAACACAAGAATTTAGACTGTTCTATAACGTGCAGACTAGGTATTGGTATGAGCATTTGCAGGGTTCGTGTAAGAACAGTAAGCTGGAGCGTGCAGCCGTAGATTAACTCAGGTTACAGTAAAATATGGCATAAGGAGGTGCTGCACTTTGTGTAGGTAAGGCGACATGCGCCCATGAGTGGGTGAGCAACCATTGTAAGGCAACCCGTTGCTCGTTCTGACCCAGGGTATAACCGTGGGGGGCTTGGTGCACTGCGAGATTGTACCCTGGTTTGTTAGTGGGAATTGACAGTAGGCATAAAAAGAGTTACATGCCTGGGTGTCTGAAGCGGGTGGATGCGCCCTGGTGCTTTCTAGTGTAGCATACTGTATGGTAAGCTGCGCAATGTGTGAGGTGTAAGTCGAGCAATTATAAAATGGTTGGGAATGGTGCTGGCCAGCATACCAGGCTAAGCTTTTGGTAGGAGGCGGGATGGTTATCTCTGAGCGCATTGTAGTATTGAACGTAGGTAGATATATTTATGGGACACATTAAAAGGAAAAAAAAAGATCATAAATTTAGGTACATGAGGGCATAGTTATAGCAGGAGTCCAGCAAGTTAAGCAGGGTCTGCAGTGTCATCTGCATGGCTGCTTTATACATGTTGTCCCATGAAAACCAAATAGAGAGGTCTTGAAAAATTAAATGAAGTGACACACAAAGACGGAAACATAAAGTACTTTAAGTCCTGTGTTTAGGCATGTGGATGTCGGGAGGGTGGCATGGTCAGAGAGTCCAGCTTCAGCCTATGCCCTGGCTTGCGTAGGAATAGAGGCTGTCTTTGGGGTGTTCCATACTAAAGCGGAGTGTGGCTGTCTGCTGGGTCTGTAGCTCCGTCTTGGCGCTGCGATGTATATCCCGGGTAGGGAGTGGTGTCATGTGCTGTGAGCCAGGCGCTTGGATAAGCCTGTGTATGAATCGCTTGGTGATGGTCAGGGTGGGCTGGTTCCGCACCGTGTCCTTCGGTCGGCTGTCCCTCAGTGTACCTCTCTTCTTGTGAGCTCGGGCATCGCAGCAGCTTTGATCCGGCAAGCACTGTAGTTGGGTGTTGTAGGGATCCCACCCGCCAGGCTGCCTCATGCAGGTATGCAACATCCGCCTTGTGTGTGTAGGGGCCTTAGCCATCGAGGGAGAAAAGATGGCGCTGTTCCCATTGCGAGCTTGCGGATTCGCGTTTGCCGCCATTTTAGTGGGGCCTCGTGGTTTGAGTAGCAGGGTTTCTGGTGCGGTAAGGGCTGCAGGGTGTGGGCCGGGATCACCCCCACCAACCCGGGGGGGGGGCGGGGAAACGGAGCCCTGGTTGCACGTCCATGGGAGTCCAGCACGATACCGTCGGGCTGGATAGTGGGGCAGGGGCCGTCCACCTCACTCACCGCCTGAGTAGGTCTCAACCTGTAAGGACGACTGTTATCGTCTTGAGGGACTAAAACAAGAAATTGCAAGCCTCTCCTCTGGGCCAGTGCTTCCCTGTGCATCGGAGCACGGCTGCTGGTCATTAATCGGGTGTAAAGTCTGCTTTTTAAAGCTTAAAATCTGAAGGTTGCAGGAGCTGTTGGTATATGCGACCGTTCAGTTTGACGGTCAGGCCCCCCCCCCCCGGCTTATCATATTTTGTCCAGTATGGATGGATGCATTTCCCAAAGGTTTCAATACACCTCGAAATTGCAAAATGTTGTAAAAATCACTTAAATTAACTCCAAATTACACTTATATCAAACACCAAATTGACCTTAAAGGGAGAAGTCCAGACGGACTGCTCCACTTACTTTTAATGTATTATACATATGTGAAAATAATAAATATGTTTACATTTGAATTTCTAGTATGTTATGTGAATCCCCAGGTATCTCTCACCAAACCAGGAAGTGATTAATCCAGTCACGATGTTCACTTAACTTTGTAAAAAAAAAATTATGAGCTTATCCCATAAACTTCCTTTATAAAAGGTTTCTAGGAATTTTAGTTTAATTGTCAAATATCAAATGTAGAAAACTAACAGTTGAACTACTAAACCTCCAAGAAAGTCATGATATAATGTACAGCAGTATTTTATAGCCAAAAGAAAATGCAGCAAGTGATTAATTGTGATGGGTTTATAGGAGGTTCATATATGGCAGGGATAGGCAACCTTCGGCACTGCAGATGTTTTGGACTACACCTCCCACCGAGCATTATAGCTGTAAGAGCATTGTGGGAGATGTAGTCCACAACATCTGGAGTGTCGAAGGTTGCCTACCCCTGATATATGGTTTTACCTTTGTTTTCCCCAAACCAGGAAGTCACTCAGCCAATCAGAGCTTCTGCTTAAGATCTTGCCAAACCAGGAATTCATACATCTAATCATGATCACGTTGACTTTCTGTAGCATTTTTGAGCTTACCCCACAAGAGGTGCTTTATGGGACCAACATGGATTTCTGTTAGTTATGGTTCACTTACTGGATTTCTTATAAAGTTTAACACATTACACTTAGTGTGGGTGGGTGTTGAAGTGCTTATTTTTAAACATGATACAGATTACAGTAACAGTTCACTTTTTTTCTGCAGAAGGAACATTCTTTGAGTAATCTACAGAACTGTTCACAATTTACAATTTACCTTTACTTTCATTGCTTCTGCAAGTTCTAAATCAAGGGTGTAAAAATAGGTTTCCACGGCTGTAATTCTGTCAGAGGTTTAAGTTTTGTAAATCACTGAGTCATGTACCATGTTTTTGTTTAAAACACAGTACCAGCTGCATTAGCTTAAGGGCTCTAGTTTGAACCCTAGGCTATAAATAATAGTTGTCTCAATTCATTCATTTTTTTCTTTAGAACAACATAAACTTTTATTACATTTTTTATACAAGCCTATTCTGACCCAGTTTCTGCCACTTGGATACAGATTAAAAAAAAAAAAATGTTGGCAGATATTTTGTTAAAGCACTGATCACCTTCGTCTCTGTTCATTATGAGAGAATAATGATATTAAAGGGACACTATAGTTAGTAATACAATGTTAGCTTAATGAAGCCGTTTTGGTGTACAGATCATGTCCCCGCAGTCTCACTGCTCAATTTTCTGCCATTTATGAGTTAAATCACTTTGTTTATGTAGCCTAATCATGCATGTGACTTACACAGCCCTCCTAAACACTTCCTGTAAAGAGTAAGATAATGTCTATACTTCCTTTATTGCAAATTCTGTTTAATGTAGCATTTCTTAACTCCTGCTTTGTTAATAGTTTGCAAGACCCTGCAGGAGCCTCCTGTATGTGATTAAAGTTCAATTTAGAGAGCTGATAATACAAAATTGTAACACAAGTTACTATCTGATTGAAAATGAGACCATTTTTTTTATAAAGACTGTTTGAGTCACAGCCATGGGAGGTGTGACCAGGACTGCATAAACAGAAACAAACATGATTTCACTCCTAAATGGAAGTGAATTGAGCACTTAGACTTCAGAGGCATGATCTATACATAGTTGTTTTGGTGACTATAGTGTCGCTTTAAGACATAAAATTAGTATAATAAACTATGGAACTGGGAGAAAAAATAAATGTCCAGTAGAATAGCTACTTATGGCTGTAGTGTCTGTTCTTAAATAGTATTCCACAAATGTATAATACAAAATTTGTAATTTATATATTGACAAACAGTATTAATAAAGTTCAGCTTTTAATTATCGATTTATCCAGCACATTGAATATTTTTTCAAGGATTTTCTGACATCTCATATCCACTCATTCATGTTATTATAGGTGATGGCATTTTCACAGCATCTTCTGGTATTATCGGTTCTGCTCTTCGGTCTGGTCCAGTCAACCAGAGGTGGTGCCTACTATGGAATGAAGCAGCTTCCACCGCAGATGCCTCAGTATCAACCCCATGGACAGCCAATACATCACATGCCAATTGGGAAAGAGGGTCCACCGATGGGACATCTTGGAAAAGAAAAAGCACATATGCCGTATTATGGAAAGGAGATGCCACAGATGCCGAAATATGGCAAAGAATTAATGCCAAGAAAAGACAACAAAGGTAAAAGGCACTAAATGCTGCCCAGCTAAACAACTGATTTCATGTGTACATTCATTATATGAAAATAATTTGTAATGGACACACATAGACACCAAACAATAAACGCACATTTATTTAGCATACAATAGTATTTATATACTACTCTTGAAGCAGCAAATGCATTCCAGGATACCCGTTGTGACAAAAACAACTAAAACTTAAATTACAGAGAATCAAATTTCATCTATACACGGTGCAAGCAGAGTTTTTTAAAAAAGCATCTACTTGCTACTTTATTCCATAATTGACTTAAGTTTGGGCAAGACCACCATATATGGACATAGTCTGCTCTAAGTGAGCCACATCTCCAACAGTTATATTGAGAGGATGGGTACATTTTTGCCAATTTAGTGGGGACATAGTGCCATCTATTAATGATCTTATAATGACTTTCAGTTGAATTTAAACAATGAAGAGCCTTAGTTACGGCATTATTTGCATTTATCCACTCATTTCTTGTGATAGTAATCTGTAGATCTTTTTCCCATGAAACAAGGGCTGGGAATATTGGACTTGATTTATATAATTTATCTAATTTAGCACAATGTGATACTAAGTTTTTATTACTTTTAGAATTAATTAGATTCATGAATAGATGTAATCCTTCAGATGATTCTATAACCCTATGTTTATTTAAAAAATGCTTTATCCTTAAATATGTAAAATTCTCTCTATAGGGAAGAGAAAATAACTGCCTAATGTCCTTAAAAGACATAATTTGATTCTGTTGCAATATTTGATCTATTTTATTAATACCATTAGACGTCAAGGTTTTTACATTTAAATCTTCTATATTGACTGTCAAAATGTTGAGAGTTAAATCCGTAATAATTTTATCCAGTATCTTAAGTCTCTTTTTCCATTTTTTCCACTGCAATAATAAATTATCCATAATTAGGCCTATATTTATGTTATTTGTCTTTTGTAGCCTCCAAAATATAGCTAATAAGTCTGGAGATCCCAGTCTTGTAGCTTCCATTTTTGCCCATGCTTCCTCTGCAGAGCTCTCTTTTAACGATATAATTAAATGAGCCAATGCGCATGTCTCATATGTCTCTAGAATGTCTGGAATTCATTTCTAAAACCATCTTATTGGTGCAAAGTCTTCTTCAATGTAGACAATATGTTTATTGCTGCATGGTGGATAAACTTACCTGAGTATACAAAAAGAAGACCTTCCTGCAGTTGTTTTAGATAAATTTTTACAGCTACAGAACATATTATTGTCTGGAAGGCTCTGTTACATATAAGCATTCACCGCATTAGAACATTACACTTACTGCACCTTTAATAGTGTGAGAGATACAGTTATCTCAGTAGAGCACTGCACACTGTCACAGCCACTTCCAAATATTATCTTTTCTGCAAAACATAAAATGTTATTCTGCCCAATTCTTATATATAGCAATGATTGTAATAACGGTGATAATGATATGAATGTATTCAATATGGAATTATAGATTGAGATTTTTTCAGAGTTATCACTAAATAGTAGAATATTATAGACATTAAAAAGAAGAAAGCAGAAATGACATGCGCATATTCGTCCTTTTTCGCACGTATCAAAAACCTCTACCAAATAACCCATAAAGACACAGACAACAAATTTTACTTGGAAATAATTATTGTTTCACAGCTTTATTAAAATGTATAAAACAATAAAGGTCATTGTAAAACATCCTGCTTTACATGGCCATACTAATCCTTCCAACCCTTTCACAGCACTATACCCACTGACAATCAATAATTATTAATATACCAAACAGTGACATAACACATAACACGGCCACAACAGGACTCCATTACCAACTTTATTTTTAACATTGTAGAGGTATACCAGGTATACCAAGATACCCCTACGCCCCCAGGTTGTAAGCCACCAATGAGCTCCAACCTACCAAAACCAATTTGAAACAGGTAACCATTTGTACTGACTTGAACCATTCCGCCTACCAATCTGGTCTACCCCCAATTTTCATATCCAGCCCCCACCGCTGTGACAAAAAGGGAGAAGACAATCCCCTTCAATAAATTAGCAAGGGAGGGTGGGACAACCAACACATAAGTAAGGATTAATTAAAATGGCCCCTTAGATCTAAAATGTCCTTTATTTATATGAATCTAAT